TTATTACGACACCAATTACAATCAAGATTGCAGAAAAACCTTCAATTCCCGTCTCAAACGTATTAGTTGAGTTCATACTTCCCTCTTGTGATTGCTACAATGGTCCATCGGCATGTTTTCTGTTGATAGGGTGAAATGTTCCTCCAGAGAGGGACAGAGCGCCCCGGTGCTCCTGTAGCATACGGGTCATGTGATCTGTGGCCGAGGTGTTGTCGTGTTTACTCATATTTCAGACGGCACCCTGGTACGTAAACTCGTTCGCTGTCGCCACCTTCGTCAAAGCTGATAAATTCTTAACGACGTGGACCAATGGGAGAAGCCGTAACCTAGTAACAAGCCAAGAAAACATTAATATTTCATAGAGGCTGCAGCGTGGGAGCCGTGAGGTTATCTGAATAAAATGTAGCCCCTCTGGCCATTAACAAAGGAGAATCCTCTGTGGTCATGCCTTCATTAAAATGAAACGTAGATAACGTGGTAATAAATTCAGCCATTTTAATACTTTACGAAGCCTTGTTAAAGAGCCAGAGACCTCGACGCAGGAACACACAAACAGGACTCTTATTGTAATTTATACTAAATATTATTCACTATTTTTAATGTTTTATCTTCCAGTTTGCACCAGATGAGCTGAGATAGACGATCGCAGCACTGAATTGTTGTTATAACTCTGTTGTTTCGGTCTGTTCATCAGCAGAGAGGAACCCGAGTGCACGCCGTCCCACTTCCACCGAGTTTAGCCACAAATCGTCCCAAAGCGTTTCCTTTCATGCGAGCACGACGCCGGTCGCTCTGAGACGCTCTGCTTCTCAGGAAGCGTCCCCAGCAGGAGGTACGGGGACAACTGATGAGAGACGCTCTCCTATGTACAACGGACTTCAATAGACATGTTCCCAGCGGCGTGGTAACGAGGCTCAGGTACTTCTGGATTTAACAACACCGCACTGGATCAACAAAACGTGACGTACACACAAGCAGCAAAAACTACAACATTGGTTTTGGGTGTGCTCAGTGAAGCACAATGGTGAAGAGAACTGTTCACCATGGAGGAAGCCTCAGACGATGCCTGATTGTGATTTGAAGTGCAGCAGCAGGAGCAGGAGCAAGAGCAGGAGGAGCAGGAGGAGGAGGAGGAGGAGCAGGAGGCCTGAATTAACTACACTGCCTGTAATTACCCTTTTTTTTTTGCCAAAATAAGCCAAAAAACACAGGCGGCAGACTTCACCTTGGCTGCTTGTTTGACTGCTACCTCCGCTCTCTGCCTCACCTGGGAAATGAGCTCCATCTAATGAGGAACGTGACACACGTGTGTGAGCCTCCATCACAGCCCCCCCCCCCCCAGAAGAACACGTTTAGAGCCTCTGAAACCCCAAAAAATCTCCGTCTGACCAAACAGCACCAGGAACTAAAGGAACCTTCACGAGCTAGATATAAATAAAGAACAGTCACCGTTTCCACAGCGTCTGAAGAATTGTAGACTGATTACAGATTGTGTTTTCAGAGCACAGCGTTGTTTGAGAGGTTATTCATGCACACAACAACACAAGGATCATGTTGTTCTTCGCGGGTACCTTTGGCGTGTGATATTTGAAAGATTACCAGAGGCGGAACGAGACGCTGAAAATGTCACCCGTCTCTTAAAGAACACACAACCTGCTGGGTGTTCTGTGATTTGTATTCCTGCGTTAGTACAAATCCACAATTTCTTTATTTCAGCTGCATTTCCACCACTTCGTTGCCGGTACCTTTTGTCCACCGACTACTTCTGTAAGACTTAAGGTTCCTTCAGCACATTGTTCATTTCCACAGCGATCTGAAGAAGTGGCAGGAAAAGAGGGCAGCTGCTATTCATCTAAAAGAAAACGTTGAAAGAAATAAACCCATAGGTTCTGTTAATGCGACTACTGCTGCACGTCGGATGTAATAAATAAGATGTAGATGTGGATGAAACTAACAGCATCTGTCTCCACACTGAATCATCTGTTCAGTGTTTGATGGTTATTTATTTGTGCTTCAGAACCAAACAATGAGAAAATTAACTTGTTTTTTCTCATTCTCAGCACCGTCTCTTCTACCGCTGGCCCTCTGTCTTTTTCTATTTGCTTTTAATGTTATCAGACAAAGAGACCTGCCCCCCCCCCCCCCCCGTCCCAAAATCTAGAGTAGAGTTGAAGCAGCAGCGCTGGGTGTGTTTGACCAATCAGTGACTGTCATCCCTGCAAACCCCACCCTGAAGATTCCTGTATATTCAGAAAGTGGCCAGCCGGGGCCATTTGGGGGGTAAAATGCCCCCAGAACTGAATTTAGACGCTGGTCCCCATGGTCACAATGCTCGAAATGTTCCTTGTCCCTGGAAAAAAGTCCCTGCTATGAAAAAAGAAACTTTTGTAGACGTGTCGGGAACCACACAACTTTTTACGTCAATAAGCACTGCAAGAAATGTCCACCCCGACTATCGATTCCAGCAGCACCTCGGCCTGCTTCCTGCTGAAGTAGCCGGAGCAGCCTGGAGGTTTGTGTTTGCTCAATCAGCATCTCTCAGTTAATCAAACCGAACCCTGAGAGTTTGCTGGGCCATCTGAAGGCATGCGAGGACCAGGGACAGCATTTGGGCCCAAGACCCTGGTCCCTTTGAGTAAAAGAAAAGTACTTGAGATCCTAAAAAGGTTCCTGCGTCTAGATACAAGCCCCACACAAGTATGAGCTGGAAGGATCTTTTTGTTCCGTTTAATTTAAACACTGAAGTAAAGATTGGAATATAAAAACCTGTTTCTATGTGTATTCTGTATCCACCACCGTCTTCTTGACTACAACACAATATTTGGAATGCTCTTTCATGAGGCTACGTTGCACACTGAGGCAATAATCCAGATTATAATAGTACAGTTAAATCAAATATCTGTATCACTGTGATATCATAGCCTTTGATGACGTTTCTTCAGCAATGCACCGGCGTACTTGAGCAGTGTTGAGGTAACTTTTGTCTCAGGGATTCTCATATCAGTGAGGTGTCCTTTTTATCGGCTCTCAGAACTAATTAGTTGCACAGCTGGCACCTGCTCTGCCCTCCGGTGAAGGCAGACCGGGACTCGGTTCAAGATGCAGTGTTGATGCTGGATGCCGCTGCCACATGTCAGCTGTTTGACTTGGCTGAATATTGTGCTGACTGCTGCGGTCCACTGTCGGGGCCCAGGCGGCGGATCTGTCCATTACGTGACTGCTCTCTTTAACTCGAAGGACCTCAAATGTGAGAACCGTGGAGGGGGCTCAGACAATCCAGGTTTTCACTCCCAGTCAAGGAATCCACTAGAAGATTTTGCTGATTAGCAGCTCCCTTCAGAGGAGGGAGGTAATCAGAGAAAACACTTGTGCGATGTTTGGCTCCGCCGAAAGAACTGCACACGTTGGAGCCATCGAGGAAACTTGATTTTGTGCTCCAGAGACTTTTCCAGATGATGATAAACAGCATGAGAGGCTGAAGCCATGATGTTTGAGCAGCCTTTACTTCGGTGGCTACATTATAGAGGCGCTGCAGGGATGATGTAGTTTAGTAGGCTAACAGGAAGTGAGCATCACACTATAAAGGAACTCCACCACGGTCACGCTCCACGAATATTATAGAAGCCCATGAAATCGTGAGCAGAAATGCTCTAATAATATATGCAGATACAATTACATACACGAGGGTTTAATCAAATGCTTCCCGATTCAATACGTACATTTATGTCCCTGAGGAATTCTCCTCCTCATCCCCTCATCTCCAGTCAAACAATACAAGAAGCCATCAGACAGACAGAGTCAATAAAAGCACAGGAAACCTCTGCACACGCCCCTAAACAGATTACACACACACACACACACACACACACACACACACACAGGTGCAATAACGCCTGCAGACCACTGCTTTATCAATACGATCGATGAGTATCCGAAAGCGTCAAAACATACATTTGTTGCATTGAATGACTCATCATATGTATTGTCTCACTGAATTCATTAGAGCTGTGCATTCATGGCACTGCTGTGACATTATGACTTCAAAGTGTAGTAATGATAGCGTATATCCGTTATCGTCTTGACAGGTTTACACCGTCAAAAACAGCCGAGGAAATAGACGGAAGACAAACCAACTAAACACCGGGTCATTAAATGCAGCGATTAAGTGACAGACCAACGAGTGGCCCATTAAAGAATAAACACTGATCGAGTCAAATACTGGCCCATTAACTACAAAACAGACTGGCCCATTAAGTGCCAAGATAGAGTGACAAATTAAGACTTGCCCAATACATAATTGAGACGGTACGACTAAAAACAGGCTCGTTAAATATTAAGTGACCAAAATTTGGTCCGAATGGAGAAAATAACCAACTCAGATATTGGCCTATTAAATACTGAGACAGACAAACTATTTAAAGCTGATATATTAAATAGTCTTAGGGTTAGGAATGGTTTCCAGAGTAGGGCCCATAATAGAGGACTGCATTGGGTTCACAAATCTCAAGGGAGGTAGGTCCCGGCATTCAGCCAGCGCTAACCAGAGAGATGGAGTCAACACATGAGGTTGAAAAGAAGAGTAAAGCAGAGCTCAGAGCTGCCGTCTGTTCCAGCAGAACTCTTTAGGAAGGTAACAAAGCGGCTCTAATAACAACCAAACGTACGGATAGAATTAGATTCAACATCTTTTCTTAATCTGTCAAAAGTGCCGACTTTAATTCGGCAAACGCATCATACACCAAAGAGCATGTGTAAAAGTACTTTGACACCACACATAGCTTTCTACACTTCCTGTGTTGTCTTCCTAGTTTCAACAGCTTTTCCATCATCAACTTCTCACAGAACATCTAAATGTGTTATCATTTTGTGGAATGTTTTTGTTTTGGAGGCCTCTTGCTGCAGTACCACTCACCGCCTGAACTGTTTATTGATGCATAGGTGGGGGCGCTGTTTTACCAAAACACAAATGTCACTAAACCCAATGGAGGAGAGGGAAATATAAAGGGTGAGGAGGCTTCATGATTGTGACTGTCGTCCTTCTTGAGAGTGGCCATGCTCATCTTCTCTGTATTGGTCCCAGTTTAGTACATGCGTTACATGTTGAAGCACAACATAATATGAAGCTTTAATAGAGACCAGCAGACGGACGCGGGAGTTCTGGTGAACCCTGTTGGGTCGGAGCAGGTGGCAATGGTCTGTTACACAGTAAATTAAACTAGCAGCATCAAAATGTCTCCAATTAAACATTAAGGTGTTACTGCGTCGATAATAATACAAATCCATATTATAATAAAGAGCACCTTTGGCTGCATTGCAAGTGACTTTTTCTTGATTATATACGAACATACTTTTACTTGAATGCAGGACTTTTACTTGTAACATTGCTTTTTTTAAATTTATTGGAGTATTAGTACTTTTACTTAAGTAAAACATCTTAGTACTTCTTTCTACACTCGTATTAATCGATGACACTGGCTCACACACACATGCTGGTCCCAGTCTGGAGGCCCGGTTGGACCTAAAGCCTAAAGCAGCCGCTGGTGTTTAATAGCCGAGTGCTCGCTCCGTCATTCTGTCGGAGACACACCAACTAAACACTGGCACATTAAATATTCAGACCTACTGACTAAACACAAGCCCATTCAAAGGCCAGGGCAGACACACTGACTAAACAGTGGCCCATCAAAAACACGGAGGCAGACGGACCAACCCGACAGCACAGTATCTGTTCGGCATTTTCATTCACTTGACCCTTGGAGAGACATCCGTATCGCTCCAACAGCTGAAATGGCAGCATGACGCCGACCACATGCTGCTCGCAAGATTTTTTGGTGCGGCGCCTCGATATCAGGGTTCGCCTGAAAATAAAAAAGTAGAGGAGGACAAGAACCAGAGTTCTGCTGCAGGATGCTGGGAATTAGAAGCGTGCAATTTTATCTCACCACGGGATGCTTTTAGGGGTACGTGGTAAAAATTGGTGTTTAGCTGTCTCCTGACTCCTAACACATACTGAGAAAACAACCGTTCATCAAGACGACTCAGTGTTTTAGTGAACGCATCATGCTTAGCAATGCAACTCATCACTTCTGATGAAGCTGCCACGATTAGAATAACAAAAGGAGAAATGTTCAGAAGGAACAATGAGGGGAAAAAGGGTTGGAAGAAGAGAAAGACTTCTGGAGAAGGGAAAGATAGAAGGAGGGAGGATGAATAACCAAGAGGGCGAGGACTCGTGAGAGACCAGTTATCTAAAAAACAAACGTGTGAGTGAGTTTGACGTGACATCAGCCTAGTTTAGATCTGAACTGGTTTCAACTGTACCAGACATAGTTCTCGTTGTTGTGTATTCTGAGACACTTACTCCATGAGGATAAAAAATAAAAAAAAACATGCATAAGCTGTTGAAAGCTCCTGTCAAAATATACATAATGGAGGGCCGGAAATCTGTTAAAAGCATTGGGATTTTTGTCAAGTCCGCTGAGCAATGGGGGCTTAAAGGGCAACACCTGAATGAGAACTTGTGAGGGGAGGAAGTCATCTGGGTCAAGCCTGAAGGGAAATGAATGCAAAGAGAGAGCTGGTTTCAGCAATGGGCAACGATAAATTATAAAGTTATCATGATGTGTTCAAATGTGTTTCTTGGTAAGTACAGGAATACCAAAACATGCATCTGATCAGCAGTAGTATGAGCTAACAAAGCCGAGGAAGAAAGAGACTGCAAGCTGCTGGACATTAAAACACTTTGTAAGGAAGGAAATGCACCTGAAGTATACGCACAATGGTTATGGATAGTTACACTAAATGTGGGCTGTGTGTGTGCGCAACAGGATACTGTGCAACAAACAGGGCTTTGTTTACTTGAGGCAGTTTGAGCTCGGAGGTCGGTATTACAGGCTGGTGCGCTTGTTGTTCTATCATTCCCCGTGTGTCATTACATCTGCTTTGATTTGTCGCTCTTATTAACCAGCCACGCGCCGCGCTTCCTCGGCCTTCAATCCAAACCTAATCAGATTAAATAGTTTATTACAGGAAGTAGAACAATGCTTCTACCGCAAGGCTTGTTTTTGTTTTTTGTTTCTTTACTGATTCCTATTCAACAGGAACGCAGCAGAAACAGACAGCCTGCGAAATCAATAAGGAAAAGTGAGACACCATAAATGTGTCAAACAGGCTGTAACCGAACTGTTAAGTCACAGCTGTTAAAGTGTGTTACTACGGTGTGAATGCCTTTCACTGAAAGTGGCACTGGTGATCCATCTCGCTCTTTAGTTGTCTGTGTGTGTGTGTGTGTGTGTGTGTGTGTGTGAGAGTTATGTCAGGCTGTCTGGTTCTACATAATCCAACATAATCACCAAAACAGGGAAAATAAAAGCAGGTTGAAGCAGATTTTAGAAAAGTGGCAGGATTATGCTGTTAGTGATGACATATCAAACGGCTGTGTGCAAAACAAAGATGTGTCTTTAACAAGTACAAGTCGGGCTCTCTGGTAATTATTTCCTCTGGGGGAAAAAAGAAAAGTTTGTAGAGCTGATGTTCTTAGAATTAACAGCTCAGTGGGTGTTTATCATTTTAGAAAAATGTAGCTTTTTCTTCCCGCTAACTCCGACTGTGTGTGTGTGTGTGTGTGTGTGTGTGTGTGTGTGTGTGTGTGTGTGTGTGTGTGTGGTGTTTGCAAATGCTGCAGCTCCCTCCCGACTGACTCGATGAAAGACTAATCAGAGAGGGAGAGAAATTAAAGAGGAACTCATTAAAGAGGCGATACGTGATGCTGAGCGGAGCCTCGCGCTCCTCGGTGAGTTCTGCAGCCCGACGCGTGACCTTTAGAATGTAAAGCGTGTGCACACCACGTTCAACCTGTCACTCAAAGACGTCAAAGAGACGCACGTTCTTATGCACGAGGCCCAAGGCAGGCACTGTTGTTTTTCTATTTCCATGTAACCAACTCAGTCCGAACAAACTGGCCCGGATCTTCAATTGGGTTGAGAATGTTTGTGTAAACCTTTGATAATCCTTTAAATATATATTCATATGAAGAGGTAAACTATGATTATTCTTGGTATTATCATCCCCAATGTGTAATGCCTCTGGCTCTTCTCAGACCTGTTGTATTCTATATTGTAGCTTCGCAGCCCTGTGGTTTAGAAATCCAATCAATTATAGATGGAAATGGATTTATTTCTGTGAGATGTTGCATGTGAATGTTTCTGCATCCATCTGGCTCTGCAATAAATATGAGTTAAAAATGTATCAGAGTGACATAAATTTAAAAAAAAAAAACAATCCCTCCAGATTAGGATTGTGCAATATGATACGTACATACAATTATTCATGAGGTTTTGCTTTAAAGTTTATAATATGGGGAAAAAATAATTCAGAAATCGAATGAAGTATTTTGTATTAAACATCCCCGTGTGGTGTTATTTTATTTGTTAATAATGGCATTTCATTTTTCATCAATTACATCTAATCATATACAGTATTCATACTGTAAAATTACATATTTCATGCTTCAGGATGTCATCATCCAGCCCGAGTGCAGACAGGATTTATGAAATAAGAGTGATGAATGAGTAAGTTAGAAGTGTCTCTAACTGTCACTATTACAATCCTGGAAGCTTTTATTTACAGCCCACAGACTGACCAGTGAATGATCAACAGAATTAGATCGACATGATACTGAATTGTTGATTTGCTGTATCATATGATAACAAACGGATTATCTAATGTTTTGGACAAAACAAGCAATTTAAAGAAGCCACTTTGGGCTACAGGGAAATAGTTCCACTGTTCTCTGACATGTTGGGAGTCTGACATGATGAATTGATCGTGAAAATAAAAGTGTTCTGCAGGCTTAAAACAGACTAAATAAAAAAAAATGAGCTGTGCCATCAATCACCCTGAAATCCGTGATGCTCAGTGACAGGAGAGCCAAAGCTCCGTCTACGAGTAGGACTGTGATCTCTGGCATGGACCTTAAAAGGACCAAAGGATGCAGTCTTCAGGATACATGATTCGCTCCACTTGTTCCCAACAAGGCGGGATGAGGGAAGACACGGACAAAAAGATGGGGACAATGTTCAGACGGGCCCGTCCAATATGGAGAGGAGCTGTGAAAGCAATAAGGCCGGATAATAAATCTTCAGGTCTCCGGCCTCAGACAAGAAGCAGTGAATGAAAAGCACGAGCACTTTTTATGAGGAGGGCTACAAGAACATTTGAGAAAAAAGGGCGTCCCATTTGTTTTCTTCTGGTGCACTTAGTAGGCACGCAAGCATGTACATTTGCCCCACGAGCACTCGATGTCAACTGGATGGAAAAAAAGGGGGTCAGTTAGGAGGCGGAGTGATGGAATTTAATTCTACTCTGAATCCCATTTGGTGGCATCTGGTGCCATTCTAGTGCTTAGAATAGTTGCTAAAGTCTAAGTGAAATGAATTCATTATTAATGCTTTTCTCCGTGTGCCGTCTTTGTGCTTATTTGGCAAAAGCTGTCGCGTAATGATCTGGCTGGAACTGCTCATTACATTTCAGACTGTGACCCAGAAGCTCCAGGAAGGAGAGAAAGCATCGGGTCTGTCCAGCAGAATTATCAGGGAATTAAGGAACAGCAAGAAACTTTGAATAAATTATAGCATTAATAATGAATAGTTAACATTATTAATTATAATTTTAGTAAAGTAACTAATTACTTAAGTTGCATTAACTCAATCCATTTACTATTTATTTACTGATGTTTATCATATAATGTTGGCAGGAAGGGTATTAGCGTTTGAAGACGCTACCAAGTGGATGTTTCTGCCAAATTTGAAGGAATTCTCCGAGGCGAGACCGGAAGGGCGTAAGTTCAACCTTTAAACGTCAACACCACGGAGGCGTAATAAAATCATCAGACTTAAACGTGCAATTTATAAGTCTAATCTGTTTGAAAGTGTTTATGTAAATAGAAGAGTGGAGAAGACAACAATGAGAATCATGGGAGGAAGCATGAAGGCCAGAAGACCTCACATCCTACAGGAGTTCAACTCAACACTAAAGGCAAACATATCTGTTGCACAACGAGGACGCTTTGCCAAACTACATGATTTACATAAGAAGAAAAGACCAAACAG